CCAAGTGTGAACATATCTGCCACCTTACCATTGGGAGGTTGAACAATTCGCTGAGATCTGGAAAGCTGGAAAGAAACCGTGTCATAGGCGTCTCGATGGGCTCCAGCAGGATGATGGAAGAATTTGTCGTTATGCTTTTTAACAGCTTCTTTCGTGATGCTGTTAAAAATGCATATTCATAGCAATTAAAAGTCAGAAAAACACGTTCTAATACTATATATTCAGCATTTAACTGATAGAGCTATATCAGTCTCTGTGTTTTATGATACATATGCCTTTATTAAAACTTCCTTTCACAGAAAATAATGCAGAAAAAGATGCTCAGATTAAATCAGAATCATCACAGTTTCTGTTTGAATCATATGTGTACATGTCACAATTGTTACAATTTATTTACAGTTTAGTCGCCATGTTTGTATACACCACTTTGCATTTAATCATTAGTTATTATTAATCTATGGCTCTCTCCCATAGCATGTCTTTTATACGGTCTTCTTCCCCTATTAACCAACCGGTCATGGCAGATGGCTGCCCTACGCTGAGCCTGATTCTGCTTGTTTCTTCTTCTTAAAGAGGAGTTTTCTTTTCCACTGTCACCAAGTGCTTGCTCATAGGAGGGTTATCTGCTTGTTAAGGATTTCTCTCTTTTATTGTAGGGGCTTTACCTTGCAATATAAAGGGCCTTGAGGTGACTGTTGTTGTGTTATGGGGTTATATAACGTTATAGCTGCACAAACTACAGTTTTAGAGTTTTCACACATCTTCATCACTAGTTTGTCTCATATTTATGACTCAAACAATAAGCACTCAAGAGTAAACATCCTTTTAGTGTGAGTGTGCACAGAAACTGAAGCAGAAAGCCTGGGCTAATGGAGAAAGTTGATGACCACTTTTTTAGAAATGCTTCACAGGACACCCTTTAGCTAATTTTCTATCGTTTACATTTCACCTAAGACAGTCTACGAACATGCATTGCAGTGCAACAGGTGGGGTAAAGAAATTATAATTATTGTCATATAATTATTAGCTTAAAAATAATCCAGACTTTGCAAAGAGAAATAAGGTCCAGCTAAGTAGAATTCACAGTATTTTTTGCCTATATAATATGAAATCTAACCAATCAGACTTCCTAGTGCTATATTTTAACTGGAAAAACCAATACAAATGCCTAACTTCAAACATAAAAGAAAAAGTGTGCTGCTCACCTTGTGGAAGATACTTTTGGAGGATGTGCGATGCCTCGTTTCTACTTTCCAACGCTCTGATGCTTTCCAATCCTCTAATACTCAGTGGACAATGTGATGCTGGGGAGAAAAGCGAATATGACTGCTGACCCTCTTCGATGGTAAATCCCATAACTTCTACACGACCATAAAGACAGGTCAGAAGGCACTTCCCGCGGAAACACAGCGTCTGCAGTTAAGACATGTTTAATCACAGAAATTAATTGACATCAGATTAAACATCTACATGTCCAACTAAAAATCAACTGACGCATACCTGATCCTTCTGCATGACAAGTACTGTGCGGTTCTCTCGATCGTCTCTCTGCGCACAGTGATGCAGAGCCTCTCCCTCCAATCTACCTCTCCGGACATCCTCGGTGTTATCTGAGGTTTCCATACCATTCCCGTGCACTGACTGGGAATACTCCTTCCAGTCCTGTGAGTCATCTGAGTCATTGTCCATGGTAAACACTGAGCTTCCATTAGCCTGAGCATGTGTCTTCTTAATTCCAGACTCAGAAGAGCCATTCTTGTGGTTAGAGACAGACTTCACTTTATTTTTCAGCCTCTTGACAGATGGTTTTTTCCTTAAAGACTCCTGGTGCTCCTTCACCATGCTGATCACCACAGGGCTAGAGTTTACATTAGAGAAACTGACGGGAGGTCTGCACCGTTTTCCCTTCGCATCTTTCCACTTGTGAGACTTATGTTTTACCTCTGCGTGTTTGTTCACTTTCATGATTGTCAGCAGTCAATCAGGTAAAAGAAAAATGAAAAGGTGAACCTGCAAAGAAAAGGATGCACTTCATCAACTTAAGAATAAAGAATGGAAACAAAGCATTTACACTCATTATTAGTTTAGTTCTGTGGAACCCATCTAGTTTACTTAAAGAGCAACTTTATTTCATGGCATTTAACCTTTGCACAGAGATTTTTATTGTAATAATATGATAATTATTATAATAATCTTCAGTTATTTTTAATAAGTGTTCATCTATCCCGATGCCTGGTTATTTGTGCGTTGAAACTGTTGCAGTCAAGTTCCCTCTATGGTGTTAAACATCAGTGTTAGCTTCCATCACAGGTAGCAGACAGTTTATGCTTAAGCTGACTTGTCTGCTTATATCTTATTGAGTTCAGTTAAATCCACAAAGAGCAGCAAATGTCAAAGGAGCAGTGGTGCAGGTCAGC